TAAATGTGGCTAATAGTGACATTGGACACTACATCCTAGAATTACTTTTGGTGGATATATTATGATGCTTAGGTACATCTACACTGTTGTATTAATGCAATTAGGCACCACCTTAATTGCCATGCTATGGAATCATGGGAGCTGGAGATCTTTAACCTTCTCACCAAATCACAAATTTCAGAATTTCATAGCATTGAGTCATGGTAGTGAAGGAAAATGACGAATTGTAATAATTCTACAGTGTAGATGCACCCAGATTTATAGATTTGAGTTTTGTTTTTCAATGAACCAGCGAGAGCGAAGAAATTAATTTCTCTTTCTGTATAACATTACCTAACATAATAATGTTTATTGTGTTGGAGAAAGATTCAAGAGGGCCAACATTCACATGCCCATTCGTCCATTAAAACTCACTGGCTGGTCTTGAAAAAAAATCACACTGTCAGCAAAAGAGAAAGGAAATGGTAGGCCTCCTTTAAATAAATTTGCCAAGAAAACCTCACTTTAGGGTAATCAAAAAGATCCCACAGTCCTGATATCACAAGAATTGGCTCATGAACATCTGTAGTTCTGGATTCTCTCTGTGTGATTTTCTGGAAACTTTCACAGTGAGCACATTTTGGCATTCATATGATAGTGTTATCTGTTTAGGGATCCTAAGACAGGCTCTGTAGCATACCCAACCTTGTCTCCCAAGTGTGGAGAGCTCCAACATATTAATGCATAGTGGAAAGAGATAGGGATTAATCCTATGTTCTACATTTGAATGTACTTCTGGATGCAGCTTTGAATCTGAAGGACCAGTTTTAGCAGCGTTGATACTTTTAAAACTTGTCTGTCAACTATGCCCATTCCTTCGCACAACCGATCTGGCCATGGTGGTACATGCCTTCATTATATCCAATTTGGATAATTTTAATCATTGTACTTGGGTCTATCTTTATTCAAAAACTTTAGCTGGTTCAAAGAACTGCAGCTGGAAATGGCTGCAGGAACCACACAACTCCCTTGTTCAAACAACTTCATTTACTGTCAGTTTGTTTCTGGGCACAATTCAAAGTATTGCATATAACCCTGGAAGACCAACATGACTTAAGTCTAGGCTATTTGGCTATTAGTATCTCCCTGTATAAGCTGGACTGGGCTCTGAAAACCTTATAAGAGGCCTTCTATTAGATCTACCACCATCACAAGCATAGTTTCATGGTGATGTGAGAGAAGACCTTCTAAGTGGCTGCCCTTGAACTCTGGAACTTATGCAATAAGTTAGATTGGTATTCAGTCATACTTAAAGTAGAATCATTGAAGTTGTGAACTTTAGATAAATTACTCACCCTCATATATTTCAATATATCTAAGTATGACCAAACATGGATCCAACACAAGGAAAATACTTACACCATTTTTCTAAGTTTGCATTGCAGAAAGTCCTGGTGATGAAGATATTTAGTCTTCCTCTTAAACAATGATTTTTCATGTGTTGCTCCAGTTACTCCAGTTTTAAAACCAGTATTAACAGATATGCCAGACCCATGCCTTCTGTGATGCAGTATCTTAGTTATGAAATTTCACACCGAGAGACTACAATGCTTCTTTCATTTGCACTATGACATTCTTCAAATTCTAGAGAGCTACTGTCAGCCATTTTAGTTGGGTAAAATGACTAAAATGGGATGACAAGATAAGACACAACTTCACCAACATTTGTATATTTCTGTTTATTATTTAGAGCAGCAGGTTCAAACTTAGAAATATGTGAGATGTGAGAGCTGGACCATGGGGAAGGCTGAGTTGGAAGAAAGTTCTGGGAGTGCCTTGGACTGCCAGAAGATCAAATCAGTCCATCCTTCAGAAAATATTACCTGACTGCTCACTGCATGGAAGGATATTAGAGGCAAAGATCAAGTACTTTGGCCACATAATGAGAAAACAGGAAAGCTTAGAGAAGACAATGATGGTGAGAAAATGGAAGGAAAAAGGAAGGGGGGTGACCAAGCGCAAGATAAATGGATGGTATCCTTGAAGTGACTGGCTTGACCTTGAAGGAGCGGGGTATGGCAACGCCCAACAGGCAGCTCTGGAGTGGGCTGGTCCATGAGGTCACAAAGAGTCAGAAGCGACTGAATGAATAAACAATTAAAATAGATGTATTTATCTAACACATAACTGTTTTCTGTTTGGTTCTGGAACATTGAATGCTTCTACAGAGTAATTAAAATTTCCCTTGCTTTTTCTCTTAGAGAAAATAAAAATGGGCAAGTTTGGGGATCACCCCAAAACAGGAAGCAGCCACATTTGCATTTACTCAGTCTCTTAGAAGTTTCCTATCCTAAGCAGGAAACAGTATAAAAAGAATGTCAAAACCTGAAAATGGATACAGCTTCTTTAATGCTATGCTCACTCCACATGATCATTATTTCTTGGTTTGATTGCCTATACAAGGTACAATAACAGTTTGTTGGGAAATATTACCATTACTGGGTTAGTAATATCAATATACAGTGTTTGGTACATGCAGAGATGAATAAAAATGCAACTATGTAGAACCTCCTCAGTTTTGAAGCATGTAGCTCATATATCTCTGATAGTACTATTAGACATTTGATGTAGATTAGCAGTTAGCCTTCCAGGTACTTTGGTGTTTCTATATTAAAATGTGTCACATGATCATATGTTTCTTGAAGCTCCTTATTCTATTTTACTAAGGGCATCCTTGAATTCCTGATTCCTCAGGCAGTATATGATCGGGTTGAGACTGTTAGGACTGTATAAACAACAGATACCAACTTACAGGAGTGAAAGGTGGAGAGAACCTTTGGCCATGCATAGATGAAAAGAGAGGCAACATAGAAAATTGTCACCACCATGAGGTGTGAGACACATATGGAAAAGGCCTTCTGTTTCCCTTTGGGTGAAGGACTGTGTAACACTGTGGAAATGCTGCAGAAATAAGAGGCAATTGTCACAGAAAGTGGGACAAGGAGAATGAATAAGCCTAACAGAAAGTCCACGAATTCTACCAATGACATACCAATGCAGACCAGATTAAGAAGTGGGAAAACATCACAGAAGAAGTGGTTAATGACATTTGATCCACAGTAGGTTAGATGGAAGATGAAAAAGACATTTGCCATGGCAATGAAAAAACCCTCAGCCAGGAACATACTGCTAAATGGAAGCAGAGATTTTGATTCATAATGACAGGATAGTGTAATGGATTGCTGATGGCAACATAGCGGTCATAGGCCATAACAGCTAATAGGACACACTTGGTACCTGCCAGTGCCAAGAAAAAGTACAATTGAGCCATACAATCAGTAAAAGAGACGTCCCTTTTGTCTGTCACAAAGCCAGTAAGCATCTACCAGATCTCCAGGAAAGAAAGATTACTCAGGTAGAGAAACATAGGCTTTTGAAGCCTGACAGTTACCTGAATTAATAATAATCACTAAATTTTACAGAACCATCAGCACATATATAGTCAGGAAAATAATAAATAGTGACACTTGGAGTCCAAGTCTTCCAGAAAAACCAACCAAAACAAATATATATTTTCTATTTCCCCTTTGTATTCGGAATGCTATGGTTGTATTGCAGAGCTGAAATGAATTACATAAACAAATGAGAGATTCTAATGTTATAGCATCCCATCACGTTAATAGCAAATCTGATTATTTAATGAGATAAATCTTCAACTTGTTCAATAAATTAACAATATAAGTCTCCCATTTCATGAAACAAAGTGGTAGCTAGGCTGGTAACAAGTAATTTTGTCACCATAGTGGCCCCTATTTTTTCCATTCTGCACTTAATTGGATTCCCCACAAGACTGTACAAGGTTAAAGTTGTCTTTAAAGTCACAATGCTCTTGTGACACTCTGTAACTTCTGTTCTTAAACAAACAAATGTATACTTTGGTAATTTTGTGAAGGACAATTATGATTACCCACTCATTCTTATCAAATAAATACTTTATTTTAAAAAATGATATAATTTCTAAACATCTAGTGAGATGATATGTTGTTTATCAAGTCAGAGTTGTACAGATGTTGCATGCTTTATTGGTCACAAAAATGACTGGTGGCCTAACAAAAAACTCAGTATTCATTATATTCTTACATGCTATTTTTAAAATAGTTTAATCCAGAGTATGAACACATATCGAGTGATGAGCTCAGTCATGCACTCGTTTCTTCATATGTTTGTTCATAACATAAATATAATGGTAAACATTTGAGTTTCAAAAGAAAAAGGGTGATTTTCAGCAAGAACATAGCACCTACTTCATATTAAGTTTCAGGAAATTAAAACAGAGTTGGGGAAGGGGAACTTTGTATGACACCTTGTTCTTATATGAAAGCCTCAAAACATAATCCAACGATATCCGTTGCTATCAATAAACAAGTCTTAAATTAACCAGTATCATTTCTATGAGGGACAGGGCTTTTGCAAGTGCATGTGTTAACTTACACTTCATGTTCAAATCACCCCAAAATACTTTGTAGGGAGGTTGCCAATATATTTGTCCCCACATCCTTCCTGTCACGACTTAACTTATGAGGTGTCCTTTTCTGCTGTCTTAATTTAATTTAGTTATGGACTTCAACTTGATCATTCAAAAGGAAGGGACAAAATACTTCACAGAAACATCACAAGGATCTTGGTGAGCACATTGAAATCAATATACATTCAATGAAATTCAATGATTGTCAAATTAATATTTAAGCAGTATAACACATAATCCACATATCATTTTCTGCAGAAAAGAAAAACACTTAATTTTTTTCCAAACAATCCAAATATCATCTGAGAAGGGCATTTTTTGTTCGGAGAAGCCAAAGACAGTTTTTAAGCTCAAAACTCTTTTCAAAATTTTGTATATGGAGAAGATGTGACAAGCAGGTTTTGCCGAATTCCAAGTACAAAGAGCTGTTATCTTTACCTTCCGAGTTTGAAAATCAACATTCTCATAGCAAATAACATAGTTTTAACAAACTGTGTCAGCTCATGGAAAAGAATCTTTTTTTGCCCAAAGTCCTCTTCAGAGCTTCTTTGACATCTTTGTTCCTGAGGCTGTAGATTAAGGGGTTCAACATGGGGATGACAAGAGTATAGAACACTGATACAATTTTGCTCTGAGCAGGAGAGGATATAGCAGCTGGTTGAGCATAAATGAAGAACACTGTGCCATAAAAGATTGTCACTGCAGTTATGTGAGAGGCACAGGTGGAAAAGGCTTTTTGCCTACCCTCTGCAGAGCCGATCTTGAGAATTGTGTTCATAATGTAAGCATAGGAGGTGAATATTACCACTGTTGTCACTGCAATGATAACATTGCAGAGTGAGAACATCACAACTTCATTGATATGTGTATTTGTGGTGGCAGCCTTCATGACGGCAGGGACATCACAGAAAAAGTGGTTGATTTTGCTATGGTTGCAGAATCTTAAGCGGAAAGAGACGCTAGTCTGTATTACACCATTGGTACAACCACAGGCATAAGAAGTGGCCACTAGACGATAGCAAGATTTCTTTGACATCTTCGTTGGATAGAGGAGAGGGTAGCAAATGGCAATGAAGCGGTCATAGGCCATGACTGCTAAAAGAAAACCTTCTGTGGTAACAAAGATGGTGAAGAGCATCAACTGGGCCACACAGCCCTCATAAGAAATGATGTTAGATGTCTCAAAAAAGTTCACTAGAGCTTTAGGAGCAATGGCAGATGAATAGCAGAGATCTAGGAAGGATAGGTTCTTAAGAAAGTAGTACATAGGGGTATGAAGTTGAGAGTCGGCACTTATGAGGGCAATGATACTTCCATTGCCAAGGACAGTGGTGAAGTATAGCACCAGAAAAATGATAAAAAATGTTATTTGGAGGTCTGGAAGATCCCTGAAACCCACAAGGATAAATTCAGTAGCTGTGGAGCAGTTTTCCATTGCAGGTATCTGAAATAAATAATTTCAATAAAAATTAAAAACACCATCAATAAACCTTATTTGAAAGTTCTCCAGAAGCACCTATTATCTAGCCTCTATTTGGAGTTAGATACTTGCACTATAAGGTAATAGAACTTAGGGGGCATTGAAATCAGTGTGACAACCTGTATATAATTCCCATTGTTCAAAGTAAACACATCACAGTTAATTTGCTACTTCCAATCCAATGAAATTTGAATTATTCTAAGAGGTGTATTATATATTACTTTTTTCCAGATTTTTCTTTCACTTCTCATGTACCTCATGTTTCTTTCTTGTTGCCTCTCTCTTTCCCTCTTCCATTGGTTCTTTCTTTCCCTCTTTCTTATCCCCCCACACATACATACAGATATGTATCCAAAATCATTTGCATTTTGTTTAATTCATATCACTTTAGGAGAATAATATATAAATAAATATGAATAAGTAACTCTTTGAAATAAAATCACCATTACACATATTTTATTACTTATTTATTTATGACTATACACTTACATCTTATCCTAGAACATGCAGTCTCAGGGCAGTTAAAAATAAATTCATTTAATGATTAAGCCACTGAGTCTCCTTGTGGGGAGAAAAAGCAGAATATAAATAAACATAATAATAGTAATAATAGTAATAATAATAATTAATAATAATAATAATAATAATAATAATAATAATTGAGCAGGAAGTAAATGAAATAGACTACATAAAATAGAATGTATTTTAATTATGTTTAATATGTTAGTAATTTTAATCCAATTTATTTTTAAGTTAATTTTGTATGTTTTGAGGAACTGTGTAGGAGCCATTTGTAAGATGCCTTGAGTACCCCTTGGGGTACAGAAAGGCAGGATATAAATAAATAAAGTAAGTAAATAAATAAATAATTTTGACAACTTAAAACAAGTTCTCACTTACATGACTATATGCTCTAGAATCATATGTACTCCCTTAATTGTTTTAAAAGTTCTGTTCAGGGTTATTATCTTAGCCCATAGCCAGAATATCATATAACAAAAATATATGATACATGACAAAACAGCATTGCAACATTAAGTACAAGTATTTCTTTCTTTCCTGGAAACTTGCTGCAAACTGGCAGCAAATTAATCGTGGACTGGGCCACAGACCATCACTTTAAGTAGCACTGGTATATGGGAGATCAGCTTCATGAAATATGTATCTAATCCAACTTTGTAGTTAAATCCTTAGGTAGTGAAAATGCTATCTTAGTAATGCTAGCAGGCAGCAACAAAATGTTAGAGGAGAAGAACGTGCTTAACGGTTTTACCTGTCTCTTTCAAAATACTCTTTTACTTTCATGTGTGATTGAGGATTCTGTCCTGTCACCAATATTGAAGAAAAATCCAACTGTTACTCCTTTAATGTTCACTAACTTGTTCATTGTCTTAAGCAGCAAAATCTCTTCCACTGGCCCAGACTTAAATATGCCAAATAAGAGAATGCCTACAATGGTTCTATAGCCCACAATGGGTGAACGGTCACTCCTGGATGTCTATGTGATGTCTAGGGAGGGACTTCCAGTTCTTATCACAGGATTAACCAGAAAAACACTGTTTTTTAAGCATAAATATTTAAAGTTTTAAATTCTTGGTCTATGACTGTAACAATAAATAAAATTCAAAAAAATAAAAAATCAGGTTAAACCAGTTTAGCCCCAGAAATGTTGGGGAATATTTGGGCAAAGCTCGAGAAAAGCATAGCACTTCGAATACATTTTAGGCAGTATGACTGGATCTAATGCAGACTGCAGACTGGTCCTAGGCTGCTGCCACAATCCCCTTTCCCCTGTTCAACTAATCTCCTCACTTCCTCCCTGGACATGTAAGTGCCTCTGCTGAAGTCAGCATAACATGCCTGCAGTGTCCAGAAGTTCTTTCAAAGATCTGCAATCATCCACCAATGGCAATAGGGAAGGGAAGGCAATAGTCCAGCTGGGCCAAGTCAGTTTCTGCCTTACTGGACCATGTAGACCCCACTCCACCATCACCACAATGAATCAGGCACAGAATATGTGGTCTTCAGGATGAATCTGGAGCACTTCTGCTCCATAATGGCCCAGCAATGACTGCCAGTATAGAAGCACTCAAAGATAGTAACCCTAGATTTACAAAGGTATATTTGTGACTAGATTTAAATTTAAATATATTTCATAGAATCCAGATCCCCACAGCAAATAATTCTAGTACAGTTTATTACCAGGAAATTCATCTGCTTTTATAATTGCACAGAGAATTGTGGAACTTACCTACCAAAGCAGACAGGACTGGAGGAGGTCAAACTGTATTAACAGACACTGGGAAGATTTATATCCCAGCAAGTCTTAAACACTTGAGGGAGATTTTATTCCCTATGGTATCATTAAATACACAGCCTATCTACAAATCTTTCTATGATGTGTCATAATGTTTGTGGTTATCTAAACTATATTTTAAAAGTATTTCACTATTAGTGAGTCTATATATATATATATATATATATATATATATATATATATATATATATAATCTTAATTCATAAGAACTAAATTTGATGGGGTTTTTTTCAAGTTAGGTGTCAAATTATCAAAATCACAGCTCCAAGGGACAATATTTTGACCCTAGGCTACTTAATTAGTTAGTTAATCACATATTTTGTATTTGTATCCTGTTTTACATACTAAAATCTCAAAGCTGTGTACAATAAAATAAATTTTAAAATGTTAATGATTAAAATAGTAAAAAATAATGTAGGGTGTAAACTAACATTAACAATTTAAGTGTATTGAAATGGTTATAACCATCTTAATCTATCAACTGTAAAAAGTTATTAGACTCCAAAAGATAGAAAAAGTAAAAAGCTATGTTTTCAAATGTCAGCCTCATGGCTAATTTGACTTCTAAGGGGAAGGCATTCCACATCTGCATTGTCACAACACAGGATGGTTCTACACAGCCACAAAATGCAGGCCAGAACCAGCATGCAAAATGCCTGATGTGGCCCATTTGCAACTAGACACAAAAGCCCCTAGCTGCTTTAACAGTGGGCAGACAGGTGGGCGTCCATACTCCCCATCAGTGGTGACGCATATTTGAAACTGCTAGGGCTCCAAATGTCACCCTTTCTTCTACCCCATCAGTGCCAGCTAAGGTGTGGATAATGTGACCTACCTGCAGCTTACTGGGAGTTCTTCCAGGAATGCACCTCCCCACCCCCACCAAATTTCCTCTGGCAGTCATATGGCATGAAATTAGGACCTTCCATATGGTATAGAATTAGGAAGGTTAAGAAACAAGTAGGTCACGTGCCCCCCCCCCCCCACTGCCACCTTCATATCTGGCAGCAATGGTGTGGAGAAGAGTTGGAGGAGACAACCATCACACATTCCTAGGCCATCTTAGCCTGGGGAGCATGCTGTGGGTATCAAGAAACACACAGCCTATTCCTATGAGGAATTGGCAGCATTTCTGCACTGTTGGAATACAAAGGAATGCCTGAATTCTGGTACAGGTTTTGGGATTGCCCCCCCCCCTTTTAACCTGGGATACAGCTAAATTAATTGGCTTTCCTTGGGTTAAACCGGATCTGTGTATGTGTGTGCTTTGTAGTCACCCTTGGGCTGATCTGTCCCCACACTAACCTAAATGATCAGTGCAGATGGAGCCACAATAGCAATTTTCAGTGACAACAATGCAATGAACAGGCCCTGGTTGACTCAGGGCTTGTTCAGACAGGGCCTTTATTGCAGGAACTCCCACAATAAAGAAGGGGCTGTACAGAAACATTCTGGACAGTCCCATATGAATTCACTACAAACCAGGAAAACCCTGATTTGTAGCGAATTAATTTGATAGTGCATTTATTTTGCGTCTTCTTGGAAGGTGTGGGATAAATGCACTATTTCTGGGACTGGACTACAGAATACTGCAGTCCAGATAGTATTCCCACAGTTTACCGGGCTAAATAAGCCCGGTGAACTGTGAGAATACCCACCTTCAAGCCCCTAGATCTCATAGAAAACTAACTTACTTCCCCTCCATTAGAAGCCTCCGTGAGCTGTCCTGGCATGCGCCAGGAGAGTGGGGGGGGAGGAAAAAGAAAAATCCCCCCCCCCCGCTCTCCTGCGTGCTGGGATAGCTCGCCGGGCCTGCTAATGTAGGGCATGTAAGTTTTTCTTAGTTTTCTAAGTGGTCTTTGGGCTTGGGGGGAGGGCGTTAGGGCCTCCACATGTTCTCTCGGGCTAGTTGCGAGAGAACGTGTAGACAATCCACCCCAGAAAGCACGTGCTTTCTGGGGTGGGAATGGACAGACCTTCAGAAATATCCATGTTTGTTTAACGTGGATGCTTCTGGGACAGGGTCCTTTCTGGATCCGGCCTCTGAAGGAAGTCTGGTTGACATCAACAGGTTCTAGTGAATTCATGTAGCACTCTAATTAAAATAAAAAATGAAAGGTTTACAGCAAACTTCACAACTTTTCATTTCTTGTTACAAACAATACTCTTGTGTCTTGCAGGTAGTCCAACTCCAGCATACTGACATCTTATGTCACTTTTCTTGGCTCACTGCTCATCAGGGGTGCCAGCTAGAAAATCATAGACTCATAGAGTTGCAAGAGACTTCATGAGACAGCCACTCCAACTCCCAGCCATGCAGGAAAAGCACAAGCAAAATACCCCCAACAGGTGGCCACGAGGCCTCTGCTTAAAAGCCGCCTAAGAAGAAGTTTCCACCCCACTCCCAGGTAGTGAGTTCCACTGAACAACTCTTACTGCCATTTTCAGCCGTCCCTGAGTTGAATCCTCTTAATGAATGAGATCTTGTGGAGCAACAACTAACAATATTCAATGAACTGAGAAATGCAGCCCAGACATTTTATAGCTGGAAGTAGAGAAAGGAGGTTGTACTGCCCAAGGACAAACAGTGCTTTGCAGCAATGGCCTGCCCGAGCACAAATATATCAAGGAGGCCAGTATAGGGCAGAGACCTTGAATGGAAAAAATATGTGGGGCAGCAACCCAGTCTAGTCAGTTTAGGACATTTTGGACAGTGGTGTGGTAGAATGGAAATACTTAACAATCAGGCTTTTGACCATGTTTTCAAAGACATATATTTCAATAGTTTTTCCTTTCCAAGTCCTGAGATTAGAGACAAATTGAGAACCTGAATGGATCTTGGAGGTAATAGAACATGGCAAGGATTTCCAAATTAATCTTCGAGGTTTTTAAAACTCCCAATGGCCAATGATCAGGGATTTTGGGAGTTAAAGTCCAGCAAACCTGGAAGACCAGAGTATGGAAAACATCATAAAAGGGTGCACAAGGATTATCTGGACATTTCTCTCTTCTCATGCCATTTTGGTTTAGCTTGGCTTGTTTGGTGTTGTACAATTGATTGACCACATTTTGAATGAGTCTTGAAATACAGCGCCGGGGAGAAATGAATAGGAGCTAACAACAATCAAAACATGGAAAAAGAGTGAAGGGAATTGCTCATTCTACAACCAATATTCCACTGGGTTAGGTTATCGTCTTACTATGGATTTCTGTGACAACTTTTTTAACAGCTTCATATCTGTTTCATAATTAGGAGTGCAATGAAATTCTATGATGAAAGTACTACAATGAGACATAGGGGTGTGCAAAAGTATTATTTTTTGTAATTCGGATCAAATTCATTAAATTTGTGCATTTGAATTGATATTAGAAACATGCAGGAAACGTGTGTGTGGGGGGGGAGATTTAAGAATCAAAACACTCAACAATGATTTTTATCAAAAATTTTATCTAAAATTTCAAAATCCTCAAAAATCTGTAGGTATGTGAATATTTTTGAAACTTCTAGAGATTGATACCTGGTTATCTTGTGCAATGTATATAAAATTCAAGTAGATAGCTATTGTGGATATATATATATATATATATATATAGAGAGAGAGAGAGAGAGAGAGAGAGAGAGTTTGTAAAAAAATCAAAAATTCCCCTAAAATTAATTATTTCCCCACTTGCTCAATTACTATAATGAAAAAGTAATAAATTTTCATTTCTCTTGTTATAATAACATTTTTGTTACCAACAATATTTTAGAAACACTTTAGAAAAAAATACCAGTATCTCCCAGTTTTGTACTAACTTTTGAAACTTTTTTTATTGATCACAAATGCATTAGAGAGAAGGAATGACAGCTGATATGTGTGGCAATAGTAATGAATTAATGCAATAATTACAATTTTTCTAACTTTTGGGGCAGCTGTAGACTTTGTAGAGAGACTCTGAATGACCCCTCCCTCCACTTTCTTGACCACTCGCTAATCAACCATCAAATAAATATTTAAGCTGAAGGCAACGAGTATTGCAGTGAAATTGAATAATTTGTAAAAAGTGTGATATACAATCACTACAATTTTTAAACACTGTAAAGCATAATCAAGGCTACTTACTTTTTAAAATAACTTTATACACTTTAATCAATATCTTATGATACATACATATAAAAAGGATATGATCAACTCTGAGAGTGATGCAGGCGAAACGTCAGGAGAAATGCCTCTAGAACAGTGTTTCTCAACCTGGGGGTCGCAAAGGGGTGTCAGAGGGGTCGCCAAAGACCATCAGAAAACACAGTATTTTCTGATGGTCATAGGGATTCCATGTGGGAAATTTGAGCCAATTCTATCGTTGGTGGAGTTCAGAATGTTCTTTGATTGTAATGAACTATAAATCCCAGCAACTACAACTCCCAAAAGTCAAGGTCTATTTTCCCCAGGCTCCACCAGTGTTCACATTTGCGCATATTGAGTATTTGTGCCAAGTTTGGTCCAGATCCACCATTGTGTGAGTCCACAGTGCTCTCTGGATATAGGTGAACTACAACTCCCAAACCCACCAAACCCCTCTAGTGTTTTCCATTGGTCATGGCAGTTCTGTGTGGCAAATAAGGTTCAAATCCATTGCTGGTGGAGTTCAGAATGCTCTTTGATTATAGGTGAACTATAAATCTCAGCAACTACAACTTCCAAATTACAAAATCAATCCTCCCCCAACCTCACTAGCATTTACATGTGGTTGCATTGGGTATTTGTGTCCAGTTTAGTCCAGTGAATGAAAATAATCTTCCATATCTGATATTTACATTATGATTTATAACAGCAGTAAAATGACTGTTATGAAGGAGCAACAAAAACAACGTTATGGTTGGGGGTCACCACAACATGAGGAACTGTATTAATGGGTCACGGAATTAGGAAGGTTGAGAAACACTGCTCTAGAACATGGCCATATAGCCCCAAAAAACCCACGAGAACTTAGTGATGGAAGTGTTTTTCTTTTTCATTAGCAGCCTGGATGAGCCAGGTTGCTAATTTCTAATATGACATGCCAAATTGGCATAAAGGAAAAGTCAACTGAAAACATGAAACTAAATTGTTATCTGCACCTATTGACAATTTTCCCTGTCCTTTTAACATGTACTCTTCTTTTCATATTGTCTGTTCCATATATCTTGAATGCATTTTTCCTTAAACGGAAATAATTGGGATTTGCCAACCTCACTGTGTGTATGACTATAAGCAGGATTCCTTGGTATTATCACAAAACTAATAAATACTAATTAAAATAGCAAGGATATAAGTCTCTATGCTCTTAGCTGGAAGTAAGTCTCATAGAAATCAGTAGAACTTACTTCTGAGCAGAAAGATATGGGATTGCATTTGAAGTTATTTTTCAGAAGGCAACCCCTTTCCTTCCAAATTGCCTTTTCAAAGCCTCTTTTACCTCCTTGTTCCTTAAACTATAGATTAGGGGATTTAGCATTGGGATGACAATTGTATAAAACACTGACATCACTTTCCCTTGATTGGGAGATGAAATGCCCCCAGGTTGTGCGTACATAAAGAAGACTGTCCCAAAGAATAAGCTAACTGCCATTAAATGGGAGGTACAAGTTGAGAAGGCTTTACGTCTTCCTTTGACAGAAGGCATATGTAAAATGGTAGTCACAATATAGGCATAAGACACTAGAACAATGATGGCTGTGATGACAATGATAAATCCACATAACACTAGTAGCACCAGTTCATTCACAAATGTGTCTGAGCAGGAGGCCTTCATAACAGCTGGGACATCACAGAAGAAGTGATTTATTTTGGTTGGCTCACAAAATGACAAGCTGAATGTGAACCCCGTTTGGGCACAACAGTTGACATACCCAAAGAGATAAGAGATGCCCATGAGGCCAATACACCTTTTCTTGGTCATAATGGTATGGTAGAGCAGTGGGCTACAAATGGCAGTGAACCGGTCATATGCCATTACAGCCAAGAAGAATGCTTCTGTGGTCCCAAAAAGAGAAAAGAAGAACATTTGTGTGGCACATCCATTGTAAGAAATGAGTTTGCTCCCACTTGCAAAACTAATCATGGCTTTGGGCGTGATGACTGAAGAGTAGCAAATATCCAGGAAAGAAAGGTTTTTTAGGAAAAAGTACATAGGAGTATGGAGATGGGAGTCCATACTGGTAATTAAGATCATGCCAGCATTTCCCATAAAAGTGATAATATACATCACCAAAAAGAGGATGAAGAGAACTAGCTGTGTGTTAGCATCATCCTCAAATCCCTCCAAGACAAATTCAGTGACCTCAGTATGGTTTTCCATGGAGTTGTTATGAAAAGGTTAAAATCCAGGGAAAATGATTTTCTATCAATATTCTTGGAAATGCTGGGTGTGCATTCTTGGAAAGTCATTTCTGAAAGTGATTGCATACCAGAACCTGAGAAGGTAACTATGATAACCACCAGCATGCTAGTACTACCATGTTTGAGAAATTATATCACCAGAAGTCTGAAAAAAAGAAAAAAGTTGAAATTAGAAATAAATAAGCAAAGGAACAAAACAAAATACATGGTTGACATTACAAAGATACTTAAAAATCTTAAAATTTATGCAAAGAGATTCACCCAATCACACACTGATCTGGTATAACATTTGGTTCTTTAGAAAGCAGTTGAATCAGCTAAGTTGATTCTATTGCTGCGAGCTGTGCTCATGAATAAAGTGAATAACAAGCTTAATATTTTTTAAGGGTGATGTTCCAGGTGTCCTAGATAATGAACAAACACCCTGCTACTAATAGCTTACTAAAAAAAGGAAATATAATGGGAAAAATAGTTTTTTTTTAAAAAAAAAACAATAAACATTGCAGATGTAAACAAGCGATGGTACAAAGGAAAACCAAAAAGAAAAAGGTTTGAAGCATTTATTTCCAAGAGAAAAGTGCAGAACTGAATTCAGGACTGGAAAGATATTTCACAATACTCAACAACTGGTGGAAAAATCATTTTTACTACTATCTGGAACTTGTGAGAATTTTCACATTTGCAAGGCAGTTCCCAGGAAATAAAGTATAAACAAAGGAATGTGCATATTTTAAAGTGTTTATAATAAAATGTGCTGAATTTAAAAAGAATGAGAACCCAGGTTTAGATAATACATGAAAGTTGCATACATTAGATAAACTGTGTAAATGAATGTAGTACTTATGAAAAATATATGTGAAGATGTCCAAGTAGGGAGGAAAATGCAAAGTCCCATAACATTATAGACAACAAGGATAAGAAGAAAGTGCAGTTAGAATGCAGAGAGACAACAAAATAAATTCTGAGAGATTTCCCCAAATGCAAGCAACAAAAATGTGATAAATAAAGGAGTATCAACAGAATAAAGGAAGTGAAGAACAAGAGATGGCATGAGAAAGATGCAGAGGATGACTGGCTTCATGTACTGAGTTGAATGGCAATCTATTTTTAGTGCTGATGTGTAATATCATTTGAATGGCTACTGTCACTTATATGTTAATAAATCATTACAATTTTTAAAAATACAAGAAAAGATAGAATAAAATGCAAGGTAACCCATTACAGCTCCAGATCTTTAGATATGTTAATCTGTTTCAGTAAAAAGTAGAATATTATGTCACTTTAAGAAGAATAAACACATTTTGTTTTATACTTTCATAGTCTAAAGTCATTCTTATTCCATTGTCTCCTCTCAAATCTATCAATCTATAGAGGGCAGAACTGTCCAATAGGGTTGTTTGTTCCACCTTTAGGTGGGTAGACTATGGCATAGCAGCTTTTAGTCTCAAGATGCTGAAATTTATCTTCAGAAAAGGATGAGTATCTTGGATAGTGCTCATAATGGACAGTCACCACTGACAACAGGACTAGTTTGCTTGGCAGAATATACTTATGCACCTGGAACGGCAAATAAGGTTTTGATGGGGTGTTTCTGCATGGCCCTTGTAGTATCTTCCAACTCTATGATTCCATTGTTCTATTATAGATCTTCCAATAAATCTCAGTATGTATACATTTGCTATCAAGTTTTGTGGATTTGATGTAATATAATACATTTGGCAGAAAGAAAGAAAACAAGCAAGTCCAGTGTTTAAGACATCTATAGCAGATGTAGCTTGCCTATAATATAACCCTCCAGACACTGCTGTATCATAACATAACGTAACATAATCTAGAACTATTGTGCAAGCTGGAAAGGTCTGATGGGAGATGGTATTTTGAGGGCTAAGGAACCTTCACCTTACTGCTGGAAGGATGGTAGTTCATAGAATCATGGAGTTGGAAGAGCCCACAAGGGTCACCCAGTCCAAGCCCATTTTTCCATGCAGGAATACACAATCAAAGTACTCTAGACAGATGACCATCCAGTCAATGTTTAAAAGCCTCAAGAGAGGGAGAGTTCACTCCACTACAAGGCAGCATATCCACTGCTGAACAGTTCTTACTTTAAGGAAGTTCTTAATATTTAAGTTGAATTTCTTTTTCCTCAGTTTGAATCAATTGCTCTGTGTCTTAGTCCCTGAAGCAACAGCAAACAATCCTGCATCCTCTTCAATACTATGGTGATTTCAGTGACTGCAACTCAGTGATTTGCTACCCAATGTTTTTATGAATACCTTCAAAATATTCAAGGTTTTTCAGCCCAGTCTAACATTGCATTAAGATAACCTTATACTATCCTCTCCTCAGCCCCCAAACTGTTACTAATCAATTTAAAATAACTTTTCAAGAGCTAGATCCTCCTGTCCTATTTATAAGAGTAATATTGTGCTTACCTCCAGCTTCTATTTGGAAGAGTTGGGACAGAACCAGATTGGAAGTATTATTCTATCTCTCTCCTCCTATGCTTTCAAGACAAAAATGTGCTTATCCTGTGAAACAAGTAGCTCATTGTGTTGTTCTTTCTGTGTTCAACTTTATTAAATTTGTAAATAGCTTTAGGCCTCTTGAGAGATAGCTGCAGTCTAGCTCAGTCTCTTGAGTGTTGTACAATTTCGAGATGCAATGGTTTCCAGTGGGACTACTTTCCATGAGCATTTTATTTTTCAGATTAAAATATAACATTTTGAAATGCTTTTAAAACAAAAGTTTATTTTAATACTATGGTCTAATTTAGTAGTCTTTTAAAATGAAACCGAGCAATTTGAGGGAGCCACAGATAGCGAGATCTGGGCCACAGATAGAGAAATCCAGGCTGCGGATACCGAGGTGTATTCAGTAGATTGCCAGTACTGGCCATGGGCTGCCTGTGGATCCATGTCTGGAAAGACAAAGAAGCTATAACCCAATGTTCCCCAATCAAGAAGTCTCACCAGTTGAAGAAGAAGCCACCAAGATATTTTGTTCAATCCAACTGGAAAGAACAAAAGCTCGCTGTAAGCTTCTGAAAGAAGCTGACATGTTTGACACAGGTAAAAATATACATTTTTATACAGTGGGATCTTCTGTCTTTCCTAGAAATGCCCAGCTGGACCCAGGTTTGCACTGATTGGCAGAGCTGGCCTTGATGTCACGGCCAGCTGGAAGGATTCCCTCTGAGAGGCAGGACTGTGGCACCTGCCAGCCAATCAGAGAGCATTCCCCACTTCAAATGTAGATTCCTGCTCTCCAATGACTGACTGGGGGCGGAGGGGGGGAGAGAATGACTCGTAGGACAAAAGAATGCAGAATGTCTTGAGAGTATTCTCATGTCCCAGCTTCGGGACGAATGAAGACAGAATATTTGGTTCCATAATAAATAATAATAATGATAAAAAATTATTTATACCCCACCACCATTTCCCCAAGGGGACTCAGAGCGGCTTACATGAGGCCAAGCCTGACAACACATCAATAAAACAAAAAGCAATAAGCAAATAAAACAATACAATTAATATGTCAAGATAAATGGGCCACGAGTCCTCAGCTAATTAATCTAATGCCTCCAGTGCTAGTGTCCATTGAGTTCCAAACTAGAATATTGTTTGTGATGATAGGATCATGAAGTCCATTCCTGGGAAGGAGGAAATGGCATTGTGGATGACCGGGAGACAGGACCTCCTGGTGTACTGGAGGAGTGCCAGGTAATGAAGGTTCTCTTTGTGTTCAGGTGACTGCACAAAGGCCGGGAGGCCCAACTTATGGATCCTGTCATCCGTAAGCACAGAGTTATGGGAATCAATATAGATGGATTGCTTCCAGTGATGATGGGTGCTATTGTTGTTGTGACGACCAGGAAACACTGAGGGAGTCCAAGGTCAAGATGTGTAGGTGAAAGGTCACCTGAGTCTTGATTGGTGTCTTGATCTCAAAAATTTTATATGAAACATAAAATATGACAATATACACACACAAAAGGGTCTGCGATATCGGAGGAACCCGATAGTGGGAAGTGCGATATCCATGGGGGTAAGCGGTGGCAACATGGTTAATTGAGGTGCAGAGAGGTTATGTGCTGGGGGGGGGCGGGGGAGAGAGAGAGAAGGAAGGTAGCCCCACTATGAGGACTGGGGGAGCTATGGGGCCATGTAGTTACTGGGGCCAACTAAAAAAGGAGAGAGAAAGAAAGACACAGGAGGTAAAGAAAATACAAAGAATCCAATTAGAGGAAAATGAGGTTACTTTGTAATAAAAGGGGTTACTTTGTAATAAAAGAGGAAACAAAGTATCCAGGATGCTTGGTAGCTTGTGCTGGGGTCTTCCGTTCCTTCAAAAATCTGCATAATCGATCTCAGCGAGGCTCCCGGTTCCTGCTCTCTGTGGCTTCCTCTGCCATGGTTCCAATTACATTTTACTAATATTTTGAACCCAGGGGAGGGAGGGCATACTCGAACTCAGTAGCAATACGAAATAAAAAACTAAATAATGAATAAAATCTAGATAACATTTTCATATTCATAATTGTTGCTTATTTTGACACTGTTGCCACAATTGTAACTTTCACGCCCAAACTTACTTTACTGGACATCAACTGCATGGGAAGAAGGAGGTGTATTCTGCTGGTGATCTGAGAATGGGTAGAACAACTGGCTCTAATGCAAACTGGTGTGCTGTCCACGTGGGTAAGTGCTACCATAATTGCAGCTGATGGGTTCAGAGTCCCAAGACAGATTGGGCCCAAAGTGAAGGAGTCCTCCAGAGTTTCAGTGGAATTCAGTGGAGTTTCTGTGTTAAGAACTGGAAGTTCCTGGGTGTAACATGGACATCCAGGAGTAACTTCTGTTCCACTTGGGTTTTTTGGGCTTGTGTAAACAAAGCCCTACTTATGTATGACTACTGTAACTATGGAACCTCTCCTGGTCCACCAACACCCCAAAAAGGTTTAGTGAAATATCAGAAATCTTTGGTAAGAAACAATGGCCAGCTATGGATAGCTGCTGCTAATGGGTTCTGATCTTGCTTCACAAAAATTAGGTGGGGTGATGGATGTCTTTTAAAGTCTAGCACTTCTAAACAGGTTACAAATAATATGGTAAATAACTCATTGTAAAACAACAGCAACAACAACAATGACTGGGGTAAAGTGATCTATGCACTATTTGGCCATCTAAAGAGAAGAAAAATGACCACTGCTACAATTATATTCTGGTAAATAGCCCACAGGATTCTATAATTGGGCAGACTTTTGAGATCCTTCTTGTTTCATAGGCTAAGATACTATAACACTGTTGCATAATGTAAGTCTCTGTATGAAGAGTTTTTCATTAATTGTGTTATGTGACTGCTGTGTTAAATAGCAATAATACATGACCAAAACAAAGTAATGAGTGTGCAGCAGAATGCAGTCAAATGTTAATAAATCTCTATCTATCTGTATGCCTTCAAGATGACTCTGATTTATGGTAAACCTATCCTAGGATTTTGTTGGCCAAATTTATTCAAAAGAGGTTGTCCATTGTCTTTCTCTTAGATTGATAGAATGTGACGTCCAATGCCATCCAGGGACTCTGGAGGAATTTGAACCATGGTCAACTCAGTATCCTAGGACCTCATTACATTGTATTCAGGAAACATTATAGGATGCTTCCAGGATGCTTCCTCACCAGAACCCATCATATGACACAAAACTACTTCTGGTGGGGCTCCATACAGGAAGTATCCTGGCAGCATCCTAGGATGCTGTCCAGAGAACACAGGAAGCTTCCCGTGTTTGCATTCGACAGAATGGGAGCAGTGTGGGGGAAGCTAGGCAGTGACACTTCCTTCCGTAGAATGAGAAAGAGGGGCAATGCGGGGAGTGGAGCAACAGGTTCCCCATGCTGCCCACCAGATTTGCCACGCTACCCAATGAATGCCCCCACTGTTCCCCAGGTTCAGGAACTCAATGTGATGAAGTCCCTGGTAAAGTGGTCAAAGCACTACATCATGCTGGCTGCTGAGCATCCATGTGTGATGCTAAGATTAGCAAGCACGACCATGCAAAATGACACTATATGTGCAATTCTACTTCTTCATCAATCAGAACTATCCAACCAGTTCTGCAGTGGAACTCACAAATGCATGTGACACTTTGCTCTGGATTATTCTGCATTGTATACTGACATACAAAGTGTTAATATACTGAGGGCTCTTAACAGTTCAAAGTGGGGGGAAATTGTCCAGCTATTTTGATTTTGATTTTCCATAACACAGTTTCTTAAATAAAGAAAAAAGATGGGACAAACATTTTAAAACAAGTAAACATTGAAACTATGATCTACAAACTGAAGACATCTCCATGTTCTTTAAACATTCGTAAATCATGCAGTACATTTGTAAAATGAAAGCCTTATCTAGAAGCATCACATGACTGGGAGAAGGTTATCCTTCTTAGTAGTCTCACCAAAGCATCTTTCACTTCCTTGTTCCTTAAACTGTAGATTAATGGATTCAGCATTGGAATTACAATGGTATAAAAAATAGACACCACTTTGCCTTGGTTAGGAGAAGTGATGCTTCCAGGTTGGCCATACATAAAGAAAGCTGTCCCGAAGAACAAACTTACAGCAATGACATGGGAAGAACAAGTTGATAAAGCCTTGTGTTTTCCTTGGGCAGAAGGTATGTGAAAGACTGTGACCACAATATAGGCATAGGATATTAAGATAACTGAGAATGTTGTTACTACAATAGAACCACACAGCACTAACAGCACAATTTCATTTACAAAAGTGTCAGAGCAAGAAGCCTTCATAACAGCTGGAACATCACAAAAGAATTGGTTGATCTCCACAGGTCGGCAGTAGGATAAGCTGAATGTTAAGCCTACTTGTATGCTACAATTGAGGAACCCAAAAAAGTATGAAATGGCCACCAGAAGTGCACAGATCTTCTTAGACATCATTGAATGGTAAAGTAGTGGGTTGCAAATTGCAGTGAAACGATCATAGGCCATCCCAGCTAGGAGAAAAGCCTCAGTGGTCCCAAGAAGAGAGAATAAGAACATCTGGGCTGCACATTTATTGCGGGAAATGGTCTTGTTCTGAGTTAAGAAGTTCAGCATGGCTTTGGGAGTGATGACAGATGAGTAGCAGGCATCTATGAAGGACAAATTCTTCAAGAGAAAGTACATAGGAGTTTGAAGGTGAACATCAATTGAGGTGGTTATGATCATGCCAATGTTACCTACAAGAGTGATGACATACATGATCAAAAAGAGAATGAAGAGAGCTATCTGCAGCTGTGGCTTACCCAGAAATCCCACCAAAATGAATCCAGTGATCTCAGTTTGGTTTCTCATGGTTCCTTTGCTACGTGATGGAAAACAGGAAGAAGAGTGTTTCCCTCAAGGTTTCTACCCTTGCATGGTTAGTTGCACCTTAAAAAGAAGAAAATCTCTTTTAGAAACATTGGTTAAAATCAACTAAAGAACATATTTGCACAGGACTCATACCAGTGGTGAAATAGAAGGAATCCAATTCTCTTCCCATCCCCATTTGTTGTGAGTGAATCAAAAGAGTCCAAATATAAACACCGAAATAATTAAAAAAATTGCAATATTCCATCTAACATTCTGATCTCAGATTATCACTAACAGAAAAGCCCACACATACTTTGGAGGAATTTTCCTGCACTGTCATTGTTACCATAAATTGTGAAAATTATCTTTCTTTAAATGTTTTATTTGCCTTATTTTGTTTGACTTGGTCCACTGAGCTGAAATGCTGGATCTGGTATGAGCTATTCATTGCATACACAGGACTTGAGAAGCTAAATTAGAATG